CACACAGGGGAGAAACCATACAAGTGTCCAGATTGTGGGGAAAGTTTTGGTTATCGTTCTACCCTGGTGAACCACCAGAGGACACACACAGGAGAGAAACCGTACAAGTGTCTAGAGTGTGGGAAATGTTTCGGTCAATATTCCTACCTGGTGAAACACCATAGGACTCACACCGGAGAGAAACCCTTTGAATGTCCTGATTGTGGGAAAAGTTTCCGTTCCCATATTAACCTGGTGAACCACCAGAGGATTCACACAGGGGAGAAACCGTACAAGTGTCTAGAGTGTGGGAAATGTTTCAGTCACGATTCCAGTCTAGTGAACCACCAGAGGATTCACACAGGAGAGAAACCCTTTGAATGTGCTATTTGTGGAAAAAGTTTCAGTCACAATTCCAGTCTACTGAACCACCAGAGGATTCACACAGGAGACAAGCCCTTTGAATGTCCTGAATGTGGGAAACGTTTCAGTCGGAATTCACACTTGGTGATACACCAGAGGACTCACACAGGAGGGAAACCATATGAATGTCCTGATTGTGGGAAAAGTTTCAGTTACCATTCTAATCTTGAGATACACCAGAGGACTCACACTGGAGAGAAACCCTTTGAATGTCCTGATTGTGGGAAACGTTTCAGTCTTAATTGCAGGCTAGTAATACACCACAGGACTCACACCGGAGAGAAACCTTTTGAATGTCCTGGCTGTGGGAAATGTTTCAGTCAAAATTCCCACCTGGTGATACACCAGAGGTCTCACACAGGTGAGAAACCCTTTGAATGTCCTGAATGTGGGAAAAGTTTCAGTCAGAATTCACACCTGGTGATACACCAGAGGACACACACAGGAGAGAAACCGTATGAATGTCCAGAGTGTGGGGAAAGTTTTGGTTATCGTTCTACCCTGGTGAACCACCAGAGGACACACACAGGGGAGAAACCATACAAGTGTCTAGAATGTGGGAAGTGTTTCAGTCAATATTCCTACCTGGTGATACACCAGAGGACTCACACAGGAGAGAAACCGTATGAATGTCCAGAGTGTGGGAAAACTTTCAGTTATGCTTCCGGGCTTATGAAACACCAGAGGACACATACAGGAGAGAAATCATAAAAGTATCCA